CATGTTCACAGAAGGAATTATGCAGAAGTTCACCTGCTGTTGTCACGATCAAGACATGGAGAGGTGCGGCTGCAACAGAATAGATACTTTAGCACAGAGAAGGAATGGATAAAGTGAAATATCACAAAGGAAATCAGAAGAGACTTTCAAATGAAATATATTATTCATACATCAATACAGTATTCCTTGAAAAAATGAAAATCCAAATGAGATCGAGCTCTTCTCAAATTCTGAAAGAAGAGCAAGGTACAGGGGTTTCGTGGTAACTTCCAGTTCAAGGAACTGGGATGGCATTACATCACTGGAAATGGCTTTGTAGCCTCATTCATCGGTGGCTTGGGAGGGCACTTAACAAAGTCTCAGTGTCCAGAAGCTACAAAACATCCAGGGGAATCGTTATGGAGAACATCGAGTCTTTGGTTGATGGACATAGTTTTGACACAAAAGCTTTTCATTCACACTTGTAATGCTTTAAAAAGAATAACAACACCCTTTAGGGCTACCACAGAAGAAAGGCAAACAGAAAGGCACAATTAAAAATACAGCTACGAGGACAAATGGTAGCATAAACTGCAAGGCAGAGTAGGTAACGTGAATTACCTACTAGAAGGGCACACAAAACTGGAGGCAACGTCTTGGTGATTTGGTCAAGACTTTGTCCCTATCTTTGGGGACGGCTATCCTCCCCACGGGTCATAGTGTCTAATCCCTCTTTACACTTCTGTTCGCCGCTGCTTTGCTAGGCACAAGTCTGCTCTTCCTTAAAACCATCCATAAGTTTTCTCATAGTTCTTTTGTGTTCCAATATTGGATAAAATACAGAAGCACATGTGTCTCATGGACCAAAAATCTAATTTTACAAAACAGTCGTTTCGTTACTTATTATAAAATTTTCTTCATCTACCTTCATATATCTAAAAAAAAAAACCCCAAACCCTAGAGTGTTATGGACTACATCAGCAACTAAATTAACTTCCATAGGTACTTAAACATTTCTTTGTCAAGTCACAAAGAAACTTGACTTCTTTGCATTTCAAATATGCAATATTATTGGAGTTAATTAATATCTTCAACGTATTTTTAATTGACTTTATTTTTAGGGCAATTTTAGGTTGACAACAAAATCATCTTCAACCTGTTTTTGTGAGAGAGAAGTTCTTTGGACTTCTAATTAATGTGCAGAGTATCTCAAAGGTCACCATATATACATTCATAGGGAAGTTGTAACTCAAGGTAACCTAATTTACAAAGTCTTACGAAATATTTCTCTACATGTTAATACATAAATACCAAAAGTGTTATATAATATATAATACGAGTTTGTTAATTTTTCTGTGTATGGCCATTTGATAGTATCTTGTAGTGCAACATCATGAATTGACATTGAATTATTAGCACCTGCTGTTATTAAAACACTACAAAACTAATGACCTTAAAGATGAGTTAAAAAGCTAGATTTTCCTAAGAATTGTGCTTAACATCTTTTCATTCATTATGCATTTGCATTTATGAAATGAAGAAGAATTGCAAAATTCAAATTCTTGCTCCTGTTTGTGTTGGCATGATCATGGTGGGTGAAATAACCTTTCATCAGAATCATTGTGAATTAGGAGACAACTCTTTAAACAACAACAGAAAATATTATTGTTAGCCTTTCTTTTGCCAGATATTGGTTGTATCTATGGGGCAGAATAGATTTTTAAAAATCACTCATACATATTCTCCACCACTCATGGACATTAGTCATTGGATAGATGGACTAGAGGTAAAATAAAATCACCAAAACTGCATATTTGTGGAAGCTGTATTTTCTATTATCTAAAATCCCCTTATTAAATTTAATAGAACGCTATACATCCAAAATAGGGGTATGCACATAAATAGCTACCTTTGTTATCCCTTCTATCAAAATATCATTTTTTTCTTATATTTGGGGCAAAGTTTAAGTGGTTTAAGTATCCACACAATTAATGAAAAGAAAATTGAGTTCCTAAGAAAATATGTGTAAAAGCTACTATTCAGCAACCTGATATAGAGTGAATAAAATTACAAGAAATCATTGTGTATGACATGGCATGATGAATGTTACTCTTCTCCACTAAAATCATGGTAGCATTCAAATGCCATGAACTCAGAATCATGGAGTTTTCAATGATAATTATAATTATCATGATTTTAGAGGCATCTGTTGTGTTGTGTTTGTTCAAATCCTAGAGACATTAATAGATGATAATATACCTGATAAAACTGACAAAATGTCAAACATTACCATTACCTATTGAACTCCATCGGTGTTGTCACTTAGAGAATTCAGGACACATTTTGCTTAACTGATTGCAATTTGCGAAAGGTTTGGTACATGTGTATTGACAAATTGTATATTCCAATGGCTATAATCTATGGAGAACTTATTCTTTCTAGAGAAAGTGCTAACTATTTAATGCTTAAATCTTCCCTATGGCATCAATAATGTAACTTAACTCTGATCCTACAGATAAATGAACTAAAACTCAGAGATTTTTACATAACTTGTACCTAAGGTCACATATGGAGTGTCAGTGCCAGGAGCTGAATCCAGATAGGTCCAATTCCAATAAAACATGCTCCTCTTTCATAGGTTAGGTAGGTGACTTACAACTTCAAACAATAACATATAAGTGCATTTCTTCAAGGTAGGGACTAGATCTTATCTATTTTCCTCAACATCTGGCATAACGTCTGGTACTTTGCAGAATTAGACAAATGGGTGAAGAATGAATACATATGTGAATGGAAGAGATAAAGAGATAAAGAACATTTGATAGAAGTAGATACACATTAATTAACTAGGTCTTCCTAATAACCAAAGCTTTACTAAGCAAATATTCCCAGTTTACATACAACATCTGAACTATTGGCTCTTATTATAGGAATTACCAATGACAGACACCCCAAACAAGAGATTCTGATATAATTGGTCTGGATGGAAGCCTGGGCACCAGTCTTTTTTATAGCTCCTAGTGATTCTAGTGAACAGCTAAAGTTGAGAATTATTTAGAGTCAATATTAAATATTTGAAAATCATAGAAAAACTGGTTTATTGACGGCATGATTTTAAAGATCTTTATCTTAACAAATAATTAATCTTTAACCACTGGATGCTATTTGTTCATTATAAGAAATTAACCTTAAGTATTTACAAATGTGATCTAGTTTGACACAATTGGTGTTATTGATCTACTTAAAATGAGTATTTTATTGCCTTTTAGTTTTAGAGATCTTCTAAAGAAGTTAAAGAAGTTAATTTTTAATGAAAATGATTTATTTTAAAAATTGAGACATTACCCATGGCAGGGACTCATTTGTAAATTCAGTTATTTTTTTGTTTGTATTTTTTTTAACTTAGTTATTAATAGTCAATTACATTTTACTTAAGGTAATCCCACACTTTGTAGGCTGAAGATGGTCTTTAAATACTTCATTGTGGTTTGTAAATTCTTGTCTATTGTCCCTCAATACTCTATGTCCAGGCTTCATTGTCTTCTTATCATTGCTGAGAAATTTAATAGCAGAATGCATTGTTATGTTTTTTGAATGATTTATGGGTGTGAAATTTTAATTTTTTTCTTCATTTAAAAATATGTGAGCAAATTTGAAGGAGATATGTTTTTTGTCATTTCTCTGAACAATTCTTGCATCAGGAACTAGCTTTCACTTATTTCAGAAGGAAAACAGTATTATGATTATTTTTAACAGCTATATAATTGATTTTTTCTTCTATGAACTTTTAGTTCAGTGATTTTCAACTGGCGTGCCATAGCACACTGGTGTGCCCTGAGAGGATCTTAGGTGTGCCATGAAAATTTTTAAAGATCATTAATTAAATTATTTTCCAAAGAAGTTCAAAGCACAGTAAGTATATTCTTTCCTTACTCTTTTTCTTTTAATCAATTGCAGAAGTACAACTATAGGTTCAAGTGTACCATGAGATAAGACAGGTTGAAAAATACTACTTTAGCAAGTAGAAGATTAGATTGAAAAGTCCAAAATGTTGAAAATATTTGGGAATGATTTCCTGAATGGAGAATATTTTTGATTAATAAAAACAAGAAAGGGTCTACCTCTCCAAATAGTCATGGGGGCATATATAAGGCATTTAGGTTAATAATTAAAACCAAAGTATTACCTTTCATTAGATAAAATATGAGTACAGCTTTTGAAAAGTAATTAAATTTGAAAAATGAAAATTTTATATATATGTATGATATTGCCACATCATTTGAAACTGCTAAGATGTAAGAAAAAAACTGGTTGGAAGAGTGTTAAAATTTAAAACTCCTTAAAGAATTTTTATTCCACACAATTGAATGCCTTAAGAACACCGTATGTTTGAAAGTATGACTCAAAGTCTTACTACTTAATGAGTTCATGAAAATAGGCAGCATTGCTTAAGCAGTGGTGCACAGACTCTCTGGATGACTGTCAGAAGACAACTTCAACCCGATTGGATGCATTCAAATATCCCTTTTAATTTGTATCCCTACTTCAAATAGCACATAAACTCCTCTGCATATTTGTGTGATTCAAACCCCTGTTAACATTATTTTAAGTACATTAACATGTGAGAAAGGCAATTTTTTTTCAAAAATATAAATAGAAACTCAGGATGTGGAAACTTTCTAGAAATCAAATAATTCAGCCACTTTTTTCAAGGTGCCTTAAAGACAGCAGGTGAACGGTAGGGAGGCCACCAGTATCTTCCGGTTAGATAGCAAGCTGTGTGACGCACTTCTACTAGTGATTTTAAAACAATAGTCAGTTTTTTTAATGCTGAAATCACCACTTTTTTGCTGGTCTGTTTGTGTAGAGTCCATGTTGGATAAAGCAATGTTATTTGCAAGTTTAAAAAAGATCACCTCCTCTGTAAGCTGGCCATCAGCTAAAGCTCCAGGACAAAGCTGTTATTTTCCCTCCCATCTCTTTTTCCTCTTGATCTGGATACATAATATTGATTTACTCACCCTGAATGAATAGGACTGGAAGAAAGAGCCACGTTGTCTAAGTTTTCAGTGCCCCAGCTGAGACGATAAGAATTCCTTTCTGCCTCCTTGGCTAGAGTTGACACCTAAATACAAAGAACACTGGATTTCATAAAAATACTTCGCTTCTATGAAAGCAAAGTATAATGAAGTCTAAAATGTAGCATCACGGGGAAATGGTATCACCTGAAAAAATTTTCATTCAAAAATATAGGACGAAAGCACATAAAATGAATGTTTTAAAGTGCATTCCCTTTTAAATTATATCACTGATAGAAGATTACATCAGCATGATTGTTTTTGAAGAGAACAGGTATTTATCTTTTTCCTTAGACCAAATCCCCCAAACTGATGAAATCATAACTAAAACTAAAATATTCCAGAATAAACTTTAAGCCTCTCCTTCTAGCTAACAATTTTAAATATTACAGATATATTAAATCTCATCTCATACCTTAAATGTTACCCTATCTCACTTCTTCCTTTCATAGAGGTTTTATTTAAAAAAAAAAAAAAAAAAACTTGTTTATACTTATGAGGGCTGTCCAGAAAGCATCCAGTCACATGAAAAATAGAGACATACATGGCTGGATACTTTCTGGACAGCCTCATACACTCTCCACAGAAGAACTTGGTCTAATTGAAGAAACAAGCATTCTATTTTTTTTTCCAGAAAAGCTGTTATTTAAAAAAATGAACAGAATATTCTTCATGTTTTAGGAAAACTCTCTTATCCTAGTTTGTCAACTAAATCAAAAATGGTTTTTCTTTTAGAATACAATCTTTCTTAGGATATTACTGGCATTGAGTAATTATAACGCTCTCCAGATAGCACAGAGATGAAGGCCAAAAAGTCACTTACCTGGTGACTGGGGATCACAACAGAGTCGTCAATCATGGCACTGTCCCTCAGGTAGGAGGCATGGCTCAGTGTATGAGACCTGTCGGAACTGAAGGATCGAAGGCTGGTAGGTTGGCAGGAGGCCATGGTCATATACCAACAGCAGTGGTAGGTTTGGGAGGATAAAATGATGAGCCGAGCAGGAGAGTGAAAAAAGCGTGCTATTAGCTAACAGTGCAACTTCCAGGGGACACAGGTCTCTGCGTTGCCCTACCGCTCTGTCCAACAGCTAAACTAACACATCCTCTCACAGGTTCCTACTGCTCAATAGCAAGGACACAAGGGAATCCAGAAGTTAAAATTTGATACTCCTTATCTGATTCATTTTCCTCCCAGAAGTGTTTGAAACCAGCAACTAGTTTACTTACTGCCAGTGCAAGAAATTCACATAGGAAATAATTCTAAGAGAGATTGCTTAAATTTGTGTTAAATGTTAATCTCCCTGCAACAAAGAGGAATGTAGACAACCCTCAAAGAGAAAAGCAAAATGAAAGCTCAGGTTCATTTTCATCCATTATTTTCGATTCTCTCCCCATGGCTCTGTCTCTTGCTCTCTAACCCGTGAGGACTAAAAGTTGGTGCATTCCCCTGGAAGGTACAGCGTGAAATGGACAGTGACCAGATGCATGCTTCCTGCGGAAGTACAGTTCCTCTTGTTTGTCTCTGGTAACTCCAGCAATGCTATTATTTTTAAACGAGCGCACTGTCCCCTTTGCATGAACTGTGTGCGCTGAGTGAAGCACCGAGGAGTGGTGGTTGCCGTGGTGATGAGATGCAAGAGCACAAGAACCCGTTTCTAAGCAGCAGCCCAGAACACAGACACATCTGCCGGCACAAAGACAAACTGCCAGTGGACACTGACCAAAAATAAGGTTTGGCTTCAAAATGGGATTGAGGCCTTGATAATCAGTGCTTTACATTTATGATAAATCTGAATTTCGAAGTTCTGAATTATAGGCTCAAATGTGACAGGCAAAACTTGACATTTGCATAAATCCAATTTTGTTCCTTCTTAATCAATCTGCAAAATCAAATGCAAAGTTGACTGATATCTCAAATGAGGTTAATTTTATACATATTAGTCTAAGAATTAAAGATCTGGATTCAAAATGCTAGCTCAAAGTCCATAAGAGGGAAAAAATATATGCAACCTTTCACAATACTTACAGAAGCAAACTTTCATTTACTTTTAGGTAGTATTTGGCCAGTGTAGCACCATAGAATTATGGACCGACTATAAAGTTAGCCTACTTGTTAGGAGAAACTATTTTCATTTTGAAAATACATTTAATTTTTAAGTCACATACTATTATCTTAATGAGGTGTCAGTTGTCTTTGAGGAAAACACTGCTCTGTGGATAGTTTAGTGCAGGTAGATTTATGACAAAAAAAAAAAAGAAGAACTAAACAAACAAAAAAAGCTCTCAAGTCCTAGAGGGTAAGTGACATGAATCAAAGGAGTTAATTGTCTAATCCTATGTGTTTGCATCTATCTAAAACTTCACGATAAAAATGAAATATAAATAAAACTTGAAAACTAGCTATTTGATGTTATATAGACTCCTGCATACAACTGAGGCTCCTGAGGGAATTGGGGTAGGAACAAGCTGGACACCTTAGTAAATTCATCAGCAGGGGATTTAGCCCCAGCAGCTGGAGGTGGCTGCCATCAGGGCTGCTTTTACAGTCAAGCAGCAGTTGGCTTTTGATGTTGTCCTACATAACCTGGCTGCAGGCTGCTGTGATGAATTTTGACCTGACCTTGAAATTGAGGCTTGGACAGGTATTAAATTATTGAGAAAATGGTCTTTAGAGTCAGCAAAAGCTTGTCTAAATTAGTGGAAGGAATAATTATTTTCCTGCTTTAAACCCCAAAGAAAAACAGATAAGATCCACTTGGATCTGTTGTGTACCAGGCAGCAGTTGTCAAATCGCATTCTCCTTTATTTTGGTTTGAATGGGGCCAATGGGAAAATGGTAGATGGGCCAATCTCTTAAAATGATATGGCTTGTTTATGGGCTCAACCGTCTCCTTCCCCTCTCTGGGTTTCTAGAGAGGGAGGGAGAAACCCTCCCTTCAAGTGGTTTCTATTGGATTAGATTTGTTAATTGCTTAATCTCTATCCACAGCTCTAGATTACTTCTGACTTTACACCTTTAAAGTGCTAGATTTATCTGAATCAACAATACAAAAGGAGCAAGAAGCCCTGTGGTAGAGGACTAGGGATGTGGCTGCCAGCATTGTCAATGTCTAAACTTTAAAAGAAGGCATCAGGTGTGAATTGCTACACTCAAGGAATGACAGTGACTATGTGGAGAAGTCAGTCTGTTTCCGTAATGCAGCATTAAAGAACCCGTTTGGTTGTGAATGTAAAGCCACATTCTGATGGAATTTTGGCATCCATCTAACGGATACCTGGGTCTATCTCAATTGATTTTGGACTGTGAGGGGTAGAGAGAGTTCAGTGTTAGAGTCTGTCTTTTCTAAAACCCAAATAGGAAAGAAATACAGAGGAAGAAGAAAGGAAAGAAAGAGGCAAAATGGCCTACAGTGATAATAAGGTGACTAGGGTAGAAAGAGAAAGTCAGGGGGACACACAGACGGGGAGTGAGAAAAGCTGGGCAGAGAGGGAAGGGAGAATGAATGTGCCTAAGTTCCTCTATCTCTCTTTGGATTTTATTCTAGCATAATGTTTACTGCTTTCTGAAATGCTTATTTGTTGTTTAATGAATGTGTATAGTTTCTAATTGCCCCTTTCCCCATAATGTCATAGAACCTACTTAAAAGAAATAAAAATAGTTAGAGTACAGGGTGGCCATAAAGTTCAGGTGCAATTTTAAATTTTTAAATTGCACGTTATTTTAACTTGCCCATGAATGTTATGGCCACCCTGTATCCCAACAGCAGAACAATTATTCTCTCTAAAAGAATAACAACCAGCACAAAAAAGGTCTGGAACAATTTAGGTCTCTGAAACCGAAAGTTTCCACCTGATTTAAGACATGACAAACAAGTTTAAATATTATGCAATTGAACCTCTAATTTTTCATGAAGTCAGAGGTCCTACTGTTCAGTTAATACATTTTAAACAACATGTATCCATAAAAGTGTAAAGTTTTACTTGCTGTTCAGCTAGCGGATGTGCCAAGAGTTTTGTTAGGCTCTTAATTTATACTTAATTATATGGTGTAATTCCTTCATGGATATATTAGTTAGTATGAAAGTATAACTTCATTGAAAAATATAATAACTATTGTCCTGGTAAAATATAATATGTATTAGACATTCAGTCAATGGTGCGGCAAACCCTATTGAACAAATAAATATCCAAAATATTTCAATGTGTTTTCTTCAAAATATGAAGAAGTTTCTGTGGTTCGTTGTTATCTAATATTTTATATTAAATGAGAACAACATTTTTAATTTATGAGCAATAATAAAAAGGGCACAAAGCCTGATTAATATGAACTTGGTTGTGTTTTTATTTAATGTTCATTAAATTGTATGTTTTTCTATTCTTTCACGTCTATGTTTATTTTAGGCATCAGAATCTTTTTCCTGTCTTCTCCAGCTACACATAGGCTTATTAGGGTCGTTGGAGGGAAGCTATGTTAATATATTATCAACCACAAGGTGGAGCTGTGAAAGTTAAAACAATGTACTTGCTGGGTCATAAAGCAGACTTTCTTTCTAATAATATAAAATAATATAAAACCCTTTCTAGCTAAAATAGTTATCCAATTTAATGACAGAAAACCCTGATTTGAGAATAAATCCATAATTCTAGAAGATAAGCACTCCAGCAAACACATACACATTAAGCAGTAAGCAGAGAAATGTGGATGTATCCAGGAAGGCCATGTTTTTATGCTATGTTAATACCTACCTGGGCATGGTGCTATTGAAAGCAATTCAAATAAAGAAATAATGATAAGGACAAGGAGTCACTGGAAAAATGTAACATACTAAATTGCCTAAGCAAAATTTAAAAACATAAAACAAGAAAACCATGGAAATGAGATGCTGCTATCATTCCAATTCCAGGACTGTGACTACATCTCGTGCTCTAAAATGCTAGTGACAACGCGGAGAGCAGATTGGGTCTGGTTTGTTTCACATCCCCATCCTTACATGCTGATAAGCATTTCATTTAAGTAGAAGCATCAAACCATCCATGTTGTTTCATAGAAAATATTCTCCCAAATTCTTTCTCAACCTAAGTACTTTGAAAGAAGGCAAAGGGCCCAAATCAAGCACTTATTCTCTTTTTTTTTTTGAGACAGAGCCTCAAGCTGTCACCCTGGGTAGGGCGCTGTGACATCACAGCTCACAGCTACCTCCAACTCCTGGGCTCAGGCGATTCTCCTGCCTCTGCCTCCAAGTAGCTGGGACTACAGGCACCCACCACAACACCCAGCTATTTTTTGGTTGCAGCCATCACTGTTGTTTGGCAGACCTGGGCTGGATTTGAACCCACCAGCTCAGGTGTATGTGGTTGGCGCCTTATCCACTTGAGCCACAGGCGTCGAGCCTAAGCACTTATTCTGAATAAAAGCGACCATGCCAAAAATAAAGGCACTTTAGCTGGCAGTAATGTGACTAATCATAAATTATTATGAATTGGTGCAAAACCATAAATATTATATTTAATCGAAATTTGAGGTCTTTTAAGAATCTCAAATTATAGGATCTAAATCTATCAACATATCAAAACTAAATATCAGTAACACTGACCCTGTGTCCAGTCCATCCTACTCCCACTTCCAGAGGCTCCTCCTTCTGTATCTGGAGCTCGAGGACCCCTCTCTATCTATGTACATCATTGAAGCCAAGGAGTCAACTTATTCTCCCTCCTCTTCTCTCACCCCTTGAAATCCATCACCAATCTTACTAGTTTTATCTCCTGGATGGGTCTCAAATTTTTCATTTCTGACATTCTCTCCATGATTGCCACCAAGGTTAGTGTTTGAGCGCCTAATACTACTGCAACAGCCTCTGGGTTAGTTGCAACCTCCCAGCTTAGCCTTTTGACAATGCTCCTCTAAAATTCATCCTTTATCTCACTGGTGAAAACTTTCATCGGATGGGAAGGATGCATTTCCATCCTCCACATTTGCACTCCAGAACCATTCTGTTCTTCACACATGCTGGGAGCCACTGCTCATGACCTTTTTAGGGTCATAAATGCCCTCTCCATCTTTTCTTGTCCTCATTACTCTTCATGTGGTTTGTTTGGCTTCATCTCCTGCAGGAAGCTGGGGCCTCAGAGCTCCACTGACGCTCTGTGAGCATTAGTCACTAGTCTCTCTCCCACCCTGTTAGCCCATGAAGTTATAAGCATATCTTAGATTGTATCTTCAGCACTTACTACAAAGGTTGGCACAGAAAGGCACTTACTATATCTTCAGTGAATTGTTTTTTTTTTAAAGCTGTGTTTGCTAATTATCCACTTAGAATTTATTATTCATTAAACTCTTCCCTCCCTCCCACCCTTCCTTCCTTCCTTCCTTCCTTCCTTCCTTCCTTCCTTCCTTCCTTCCTTTTTCTTACAGAGGCTCAAACTGTCACCCTATGTAGAATGCCGTAGTGTCATAGCTCACAGCAAACTCCAACTTGAGCTCAAGAGATGCTCTTGCCTCAATTTTTCTATTTCTAGTAGAGGCAGGGTCTCACTTTTGCTCTGGCTGATCTTGAACTCATGAGCTCAAGCAATCCACCCACCCTTGGTCACCCAGAGTGTTAGTAGGTGCAAGCCACTGTGTCCGGCCCTAGAGTATTTATTTAATAGACCCCAAGTATGCTAGATATTCATAAAATAATTTCCAATACAGCTAACTTTAAAATCATACATCCGAGACTGTTCATTAGCAAAAGACATTACACTACAGGGACAGCCACAAGCTTGACCTAAACAAGCAATCACATTTTTGAAGAGCACTAGAGAATGTTCTTACTTAGCTCTCCTCAAAAAGTAACAAGCACCAATTGTATTAGGTAAGAATAACCAAAAAATAACATTAATCATACATTTCAGAATATTATATAAACCTCCCCAGACCTGACTGTAACAGCTCAGCTCCCTCAGATGTTGCTTGGATCGTTTCTTACATCCAGGCTCTTTGGGGATTCTATTCTGATTCCTTTTTCATAAAAAAGTCAGTTTCAGGCACAGTTTTCCTCTGAACTTGTTTCTTTTTAATTTTGCCTCACAGAATACTTTTATTCACATAAATTATGACAAAAGGCAGGTGGAGAATTAAGAGAATTAAAAATGTCTATAGACACCACTCAGTGGGACTGAGTGTAGCACAAAACTGTTCATTCGGTTTCCATGGAGAAAAAAAGTGGCAGATGATTAAAAACATCACATTTAATGGCAGAGCACTCTTTTATCATGGTTTTCCATCTTCATAGATATTTGACTTTACCAAGTTATTTAATTTTTCTAGGCCTCATTTTCCTCTTCTTCAAAATGGGTACTCTCTAAAGTTGTTAAGAGAATGGAACAAGATAACATGGTAGCTGCTGAGAGTTGGTACCTATTCAGTGCTCAATGACTACTTCTACTTTGTTATTATCACCAGAAAAAGGCGTTGCCAACACTTCTGGCCCACATCAAGTAGAAGCTTTGTGTGATACCTGTCAGATCGTCCTCCCTCCAAGCTGTATCGCAGGTAATTCATACCATCCAGGAACTGACTGCTGGGTAGGGAGTCATCACCCAGTTCTTTTAGATCCTCAGGCCTAAGGTATTCTCCCCCATCACCTGTCATTGTGTCATCACCTTGAAGTAATCAGAGGAAGATGGAGAATCATTTGTTGAATGTAATATTAACTACAAAACATGCTCTCAATGGTGAAATGCATCAACAAAATAGCCTTAACATTAATAAAACGCAGCATACTAGAAGAATGTAGAACACAGGCAGACCATTACAAAGTGCTAAATTTTAGAGAAATATTTGAATTTTTAGTACTTACCAAGAAGAAATAATGACGTGATTATAATTCTTTTAGTATTTTTTTTTAATTGAATGGTAACTATGTACATTAATGCACTTCTGGGGTACAGTGTGGGGTTTTCACATGCAATCTGAAGTACTTCCATCAGACTGGTCAACACAGCCTTCAATTCTTTTAGTATTAAACTGGGACATACCCCTTTTGTTTATTTCTGGGAGAAAAAAATTTCTGAGCTGAATTCTAACTACAGATATACTAAAACACAGGCAGTCCTCTTTGGGTACAAGGCTAAATTAATTTTTTAAAAAATCCGTGAGTTTTGTTTTATTAATATTTGGGAAGACTAAGTCTATTCTCATTCATGAAAAAAGTAAAGGGAATGGCTGAGTGTAGGATCCGTTACATAATACCAGCAATAATACCAGTTTGTATTACAGATACCTTAAGCAAGAGACCAAAAAAAGACTATTTAAAAACTGAAGTTGGCTTGAATACTCTCTCTTTCTCTCTTTCCCCCACCTACCCTGGTTTTCAAGAATCTAAGATAGTTGAGCTTTGCTTTCTGGCACCAAATGCCTAGTACTACCCGGGTTGGGGCATCCTGTCCCTCTGGATTTGTTTTTTCACTTCATCTTGCTTCTCCTTATTTGCCAGTTCTTTCTATAGTCGCTCATCAGCCAAGATAGTCACAGGGAACAAATACAACTCAATGTGAACTTTAATTTCTTGGTTTTTCTTATTCTTCAAAATTCCTTAATAAAATAGGGTCCGCATTTTAAGGCCTCTTATTCCTCCCCTCTATCTTTCCCTGTTGTTACCTTGGAAGCGAGAGGAGGCTTCTAAGAGAAGAAGGTGCGAAAAATAAGAGAAATGAAGACAGTCTAGCTGACGTGACTCCAAGTCTGGAGGAGCAGGCCCTGTGCTTTATCATGTGGAACAAGTAGAAGAACTGCCTGGGCCTGGCCCTCCCCTTAGATGTGTACAGAATCTTGTTAAAACATTGAGTGAAAGTCATTTTAAGAGCATATTTTTAATTAAATACAGTAGAACCTCCATAGCTGACCAGCCCCTACATTGATCATCTCCTTAAGTAACCTAATTTTCATAGACCAGACACACACCACCTGTAGGTATCTGTACTGTAGGTCTGGTTCCTTATGTTAACATTGCTACATGTTGACCAGTTCATTACAGTCCATTGGGTGGTCAATTTACAGAGGTTCTACTATATGTCAAATTTTTGTGACTCTAATGACAAGTCAAGGCACAATTTAAAAACTGCTGATTGTGCTGAGTTCATGAGATAGTGGATGCCTTTTACATTCTCCCTTTTCTCTTCACTTTGATGGTGTTGTTGTGATGCTTAAGAAGCCGCAAAGTTCACTGCTACTAAAAGAGAGATTTCAAAGTTTTAGAGACTCCTATGGCAGCCTTGGATATATATCTTGATGTTTTGATCATGTCTTAGAGAGAAAAATGGTCCAAAGAAGCCAGCTCCCTGACTGTTGGAACTAGTGTCTAGAACGTTATCCAATGTTGGCACTAGCTGGAAAGGTACCTATCTCAATGTGAATCTTGCCAGTGCTACATACAAACAATTTCTCTCCAAGACACTTGTGTATGAAAGCCTGCTGTTTGGTAGCACTTATCAGCAGGGAGAGATACAAAGTAACTGCTGGTAGAAATTAGCAGAATGTAAAAAATCAGTTTAAGGGGAAAAAATTACCCAAGATGGTCCATTACTAGAAAATTCTGCATATGGTTCAAAGCTTTAAAGATGTTTAATGTGCTCCCAAAATACAATGATCATATTCTTGCCTCTGTTGGTAGGGGAAGAGATTCCTGCCCATTACAGCTGGCCCATCTCTGCCTCCAGATCCTTATCACTGCCCATTTTCTTAGAAGCCTTCTCTGCTAGGCCCTTCATCTGTAGCTTCCTCTCCTTTATAGAAGACTTTGTTGAAGTCTTTCCCCTTCCACAGATAGATACCCATACTTCTGCCATCCTTGAAATACAGTAACTTCTTCCCCCGACTCTTAGCCCTTATTTATTTGATACTCTGACTCCTTTTCCTTCACAGACAAACCTATTAAACAGATGCTTGCTAATTTTAGCAGTTAATCAGTAGCCAAGAGGTGACTTCTTGGGATAACGACTGTCCTTAATTTCTTGGCTACAAATCTCTCCTTATCTTCCCACCATCTTCAAGTCTTTCTTCCCACTCTCTACTTCCCTTAGATGTTGTTGTCGCCTATGTGCCCTTTCTTCTTATTTCATACATTACCATGTGGACTTCAAGCACCACTATTTACTAACTAAACACAAATTTGTATCATCCCAGGCTTCTCTAACAAACTGAGGTTCCATATTTAAATAGCCTTCTGGACTTCTCCTGGATTTCCTAATGAACATCTCAGATTTAGCATGTCTGAAACAGAACTCATCTTCTTTCCCCATCCCCTGCCAACATGTGTCTCTCCATAAATTACCTATATAGGCATGCAGTATGACTATATCCTTGCCCAAGTCAAGGCAGGATAAAGGGTAAGCACCTGTTTTAATACAATATTTTGGATTAAAATCTTCAGCTCTTATTTGTGTGAGTAGAGAACTTTTCATACATTTACTCTTTGGTAATTGGATTCACGAGTGAATATTGATAATTGTTTATAGCAAGTTAGCCTGAAAGGCCATCTATACTTGGTTTGAATACTCAGTTGGGGTATTGATATATTGTTACTGCCATTAAAATAATAGATTCTGTAGAGAACACAAGGATTGGCTATTAACTACCAAACACATGTTGTTGCCTGTGTCCAAGTAGGTAATAGCAGGTCCCATAAAAACATTTTAATGGAGCAAAATATAAAAAGATTGGCAATGTCAATGAGCCAACTTCATTTATACTAATCATTTGCATGAAAAAGTTACTTAACAATATTCAAATGATTCTTCACATAAAAATTATTCAACTTGAATTTTCATCTGAGAAATAAAAATATTAAGTTTTGGGCTATTTCTAAAAATAGAAAACTACTCCCACCACAAGAGACATTCTACTAATGATTTTGCAACTATTATTGAGATCTCTTAACATAATTAAGTTATCTGATGAACACTGTATAAGTATTTTCTACAGCTAATATCTTTTCTTAGAATATAAATTTAGAGGAAAAGTCATGGCCTTAAACTTCAGAGTTAATAAAATCCATGCATTCAAATGCATATGTATACAATTCCACTCACATTACACAAACTAGTTCAAAAGAAACAGATTAGTATTAGGAACACAGATTTAAATATTAAGCAGTTTGCTGCTATCCAGTTAAAAGAAGCAAAAGCAAAGAAAAACTTTCACTCCAACCATTTCCTCTAACGGTACCTGAATCACTAAGTGCTTCCCCATCAACAAAGTGGTCACCAAACTGTTTAAAAGCTGTTCAACACACAAGTGAAAGATAAGACATATGGTTCCATAAAACAAAATATGGAAAATTAGTTGGTAAGTATTAGGACAGAACCCAAAATTATAATTCTTGAATCTGCTGGCATTCACAACATCTTTTAATTTATACATAATAATACACTGACCCAGCATCTGTTCATTTTTATCATAAATTCTTATAAAAGCTGAGACGACTCGCTGCCTATTGCCAATAGGCGATTTAACAAATGTATTCCAAAGAAGAATATCTTAATGTGAAGTTTTATCTTATGATTTTACCTTAACCTAAAAAATACCCTTAATATTTCTTGCCAAAAGCAGTTAGTAATAGACCTATGACTATCCTTTATGACACTAATTTTTCCCAGTCAAGTTCATTTGACCAAAATTTGCACTACTCAAACTTGGTTGAATATTTTATATGCTGCTGCTATCATGATTTATTAGCAGCAAATTTTTTGTTCATGTGGAGTATTCCATGGAAATTCAAAATTCACAAAGTGAAGAAAAGTCTACAACTTTAGACGAAGTAGAAGTCAGGAGCCAGAAACCCTAGTGGCCCAATCTCTGACTCTAGCATGATGCCCTACCCTACCCTGGCAGGTCCAGTTCTCCTTCTAGAAAAGTCTCAGGACTTTGAAATCCCTTGCCTTACATCATTTATTATCACCTCTAAAACTCTAAGGGGCACATTTTCTGACTTAAAGAATTACACTCTTATGTTGGATTTGTACTAATTGCTATTATACTATTTTTAACCTATCCTAAGGCTATTTTCCTCTGGATTTAAAATGTTTTTTGCACATGTGAACCATTCAAAACACAGAATTTCTCAATTGAAATTTCTCCATTAATAAAGGATACTCATTGATGGAGTAAACTTTAAGGTCTTCAAGGTTATTTGAATAATGAAATATTTTTTTAACATAAGTAAAACCCATTTTCCTAGTAATTGTATGACAGGCAACTATTTTCCAGTTTCTTTCCCCTTATCCAGCCCTGTTATTTAATAGACATCATGGGTAACGCCAGGAGAAAATACACGAATCAGAGCCTCTCTTCCAGCCCCTGCCTCTCTGCAAAAGTAAACGTTCTGAAACAAAAGTGAAGGAGCGAGTTTAAATGTTAAGATGTTGTTATCCACAGCTCCAGTTTCTGTCCCTGGTAAAAAAGAGGACTTGCCCTTGGGTCAGAATGTGACAGTTGTCACGGAGTACTGAATAAAAAGTCTTACCTTCTTCATCGGAAACATCAAGAACCTCAGTCATCGTCTCAGGAACATTTAGTTTGTGTTTTTCTGTGATAGTCTGGAAAAATAAAAATCATTAATGCTCAGGTTAAAAACAAAATCAAATAAAAGACGAGAAGAATCACACCCCAGGAAGCCAGCCTGCAATAGCAGCCACCAGCCCGCAGGCCCTCAACGTTCCATCTTTTCCACATGTATAATTTGGAAACTTACCCTCTTTTGTGAAAACTCATTTGTTCTTTCTGAAGATAAATGATCATTTACTCCAGTGAAGTTGTACGAGTGACAGTTCATTGTTTTGAGTTCTTATTTAAAAAACTAAATTCCTTAGCCATGACATGAATAATTAGTCATACATCTCAATACAGCAGATTAATGTTCTCAGGGATTCCCTGAAAATGAACTAAGCAATGCGTCCAGAAAAGTTTTAAAAAGAAGCCAGGAACATATGCATCTTATTATAAAGAAAGCAAGCCATTCAAAAAGAAGCTGTAAACAAAGTAAAGACATAAACTGTCTGAGCATAAAGGGGACACACATCTCTGCTGGGATCAGAGGACGAACAGTAGGAGCTCAACCTGGTGTATGATAATACTTCACTGGGATAGAGTTCTAGTGTGTTGCTTATGTTCCTTGCATGATAACATTACACAGCCATCACATCCACTGGCTTTCATTCCTGAGGTACGGTGTACGGTTGAGAGATAAGAATCTGAGTCAGGATGCCCGACTTCAAATTCTGAATTTATCACTTATATAGCTATGAAGACCTAGAAAGTGCCCTAACCTCTCTTTGTCTCAATTTCTTCAATCATGAAAAAGGATAGAACAGTCCTTCATGAAGTGGATATGAAGGTGAAATGATGTAATGCATTCAAGGGCTCTAAGAACAATACTTGCATGTTAGTACTCAAGAAACATTAGCTAGCATCATTATTATTGTTGTAATTCAATATTAAATTCATGTTAAAAATGAAGAGGTTTTAAGTTTTTAGTCATTCATGCAGTCAAGAACCATTCTGAGTGCCGACTGCATACCACAGTGATTAAACGATAATGGACATGAGCCAGGCACAGAAAGACAAATAGTGCTTGATCTCACTTATACGTGGAATCTAAAAATTCAGACTCATGAAAGCAGAGGGTAGAATGCTGGTTACCAGGTGCTGGAGATGGAGTAGGAGGAGCATTGGAGAGGTGTTGATCAAAGGATACAAAATTTCAGTGAGTCAAGAGAAAGAAATTCAAGAGATGTATTGTACAAGTGGTGACTACAATTGCTAACAATGTGCTGTATGTATACTTGAAAAATGGCTGTATGTGAAGAGGATATGTATGTCAGGTGATAAATATGTTATTTAACTTGATTGAGCCATTCCACATCATGTCATAAACCTTAACTATGTATAATTTTTATTTGCCATGGAGACACATGTACAAAAATAAGAAAAGAAAAAATCTCATGACTTTAAATATCACCTAAAGACTATTGAGTCTCAATTCCGACCTCCAGTTTCTCTATTGAAAATGCACTGAGAGCAGTAATTGGCACTGGATACCTTTAAAAAACTAATGCCTTGAAGTAAGAGTATAATCTTCAACAAAAGCCACCAAAGTACAATACAAAGATTGTCTAACTTTTTAAGCTTTGCCACATAAGTATTAAGGATCTGTTTGAATGTCTGTAATGACCTTATTGCCAATTCTTCTTCTTTCCAAAAACAGTAGAGAACTTTAACTGTTTACAAAGAAATTCAACTGGTCTACTACTTAAATTCAACTGGGGAATTACACCCTACACTGCACATGTGTAATACCTGTGTATAATACCTATGTGTTAAGAGTGAGCGTCCTAATGTGATATGGCAGGAGCCTTCCAGTGGCTGCCCATTTCTTTAGCACAAAGGTGGATGGCCTGGTCAGAAGAGCCCTCAACATATAGACAAAGAGGGAGAGGGAGAAGGAGTGAGGTTTCATGTCTCACTCCCTGTTAACAACCACGTGAAGCTGCTTTTATTTCCTGGACAAGCCATTTCTCTCCCACTTCTGAGTTCTTCCCCATATTCTTCCATCCACCAGAAATCCTCCTGCCCCTCTTTTCCTGGCTCATCTTCGATGTGACTCCCTCAGAGAAACAGTCCCTGCCCCTCCCCAGTGCATCTCTTTGTTTAACACTGTTTATTTGTGGCTATGTGCTCCCAGGGCCTCTTGTGCACCACCCCACACACAGCTCTGTGGGCCACGTCTGCTGTCCGCCTCCCATGTAGGAGTGGGAGTCACTGAAGAAGAAGATCGTTTCTACAGAACCCAAAATACAGTCAGATGAAAAATTATGCAAAGAAATGCATTTCATTATAGCCCTCCTTCAAGCTTTACAAAAGCCATCCGTGTAAACAAAAACATTTGTGTCCCTGTAATATTTTGAAATTTAAAAAAATCCCCATGAATAAATAGATTTTCTTTGGGGTGGAGTTTCAGTTAAAAAGACAAAAGGAAATAGAGAAAGTAAAGAAAGCCTCACGTCATTTACACGGTGACACAGTCAGAGAACGGGGTAGTCAATTCTGCATGCCTGCGTGTTTCTAGGGAAGTTTAAATAATTCGGTTGTTTCTTCCTCATTGAAAGAAAACTAAATGCTCTGTTAAAGGCAAAGGCGCCCAGCCACAGATCCGGAGAAGAGCACACAGTCGGCAAATACGTGCTGCATGAGAAACTCAAAAAGACGACAATAACATGTGTACCATTTCCTTATGATTTTCATATTGTGAATTTTAATTTATAAATTCAGCACAGTAAATTATAATCTATTATTCTATACCAGTGGTGTTCAGCTCTAGCTAAGATATAATTCTAGTACATTAGAATTATAGGAATTTTTTAAAACATTGTTGCTTAGGTCTCATCACAGACCAATTAAATCAAAATCCTTAAGAACAGAGCCCAGTCATAGTAAAACCCAGGGTTTATTTTTTTTTTTTTAATTCCTCAGGTGGGCGTATTGGGCAGCTCAATTTAAGATTCATTTTCCTGTATTATGGAAAGTATACAAATTGTGGAAAATGATTTGCCTTTACAATATTAGTATAAGATGGAGACCACCCTACTAAGATACCCTTTTAAACTTTTCTTGAAACTTTCTAAGTATTTAAGTGTAAATAAAAGGATTCAACAATGGAAAAGAATGTTTACCATATTACCCTATACCAAAAAGTCCTTTTTTTCCAGAAATATTTGTGAGCATTTGCCCTTTATAGTCAACATTTTCATAAGAGGATGCTTCTCTGTTTGAAAATAATTGATGGCAATACCTCTCAAATGATTCAGTTATATTGCCTGGTAGTCTCAGTTTCTATTTTCAGATGGCAATAACGGGACTTGATTTTCTTTGTACTTGTGAGGATGGAAATAACTGATGCTTTAATCTGGTCCCTGAATGCTATCAGAGTCATTATAAGCAAATTCATGTGGCAACAGAAACAGTTACACACAATGTTTACACTGGTCGTGGATATTTTTCTGTATAGAAGATATGCAATGTAGTAAATATAGTAATCATTTATACCAGGTTGTGACATTTGACCCTTAGAAAAACATCAGTAAATATTTGGGGTTTTTTGTTTTGTTTTGATTTGGTTTTGGTTTTTGATACAGAGTCTCACTATGTCACCCTCAGTAGAATGCCCTGGCATCACAGCTCACAGCAATCTCAAACTCTTGGGCTCAAGCAATTCTCTTGCCTCAGCCTCCCAAGCAGCTGGGACTACAAGCGTCCACCACAATGCCTGGCTATTTTTAGAGACGGGGTCTCGCTCCTGCTCCAGCTGGAGTCAAACCTGTGAGCTCAGGCAATCCACGTGTCTCAGCCTCCCAGAGTGCTGGGATTACGGGTGTGAGCTGCCGCCGTACCCAGTCAATAAATATTTGTTGAATAAATGACAAAAAGTCTTCCTACTCGTGAGTAAGAAAAAAATGAATACATATTTTTTCTTTTCTTTTTAAACAAAGTACCATTGAAAACTTGATTATTAAAACATAAATATGCTTTTATGCAACTGGATCTGAATACAAGACTATTAATTAAATGATCCCGGGCATCTCCTTCTGGTATACAATCTAAGAGGCTATGGTCAAGAGTAGAAACCACTTTAAAACTTAAAGTGAGTAGTACACTATAAATAAGTTTAGTAAGATGTAATTAAATCTCATAATATGATGAAACAAATAGAATATGATAGATGGAAGGAAGACTTAATAAGGAGTTTTTGTCATTTTTCATGATATGGAAAAAATGTAGAAAATAAAGCTGGATGTTTTATAAATGCTGAATAATATTTATAAATTACACATGCTGCTTTATAGATAGTGAATAATATTTGTTCTTTTGCAAAAGAAAAAGTATGTTTAACTATCCCTCACTCTGCCAACCACTCCTGCCAGTTAACAATTTCCTTCGTACTATACATTCACTGCACCGCCTCAGCACAGTGAGTGATGGTGGCCCTCATACCACCCTGGGAACTCCCGCCCACCACTCCCATCGCTGGACTTACAGGTTAAACTTGTTATTGTTCCCAAACCTACTTATACCGATCGTACATATTAATATAACTTAGATAATTAAATTAAATATTACATAAAAACAATTTTCTACAATATCTAAGGTAAATGCTTTGGACCATCTCAACAAAGGTGAGTCACCAAAAATGATACCCAAGTAGATGTGGTTGAGACCATTATAACAGATTGAAAAATAGTCCAAGGTTAAAAAGGTTCTCTGTGCTCAGGATAATTTCTCTTTAAGATGATACACAGATAAAATATTATACAGCTATAGATATTTTAGGCTATATACACACATATAGTACAGGATGTATTGATATTGTTTGTGTGAAAACATCAGTTTAGCTTCTAATCAATGGATTGATATTCATAGAAAATATTTTGGCTCCATCTCCAAAGGTATCAAATAACTTTGCAAGTGTTAATTGCATTGTCGTTTTTATGATTCCCACCTTTTTAGAGATGGGGTCTCGCTCTGGCTCAGGATGGTCCTGAACTCCTGAGCTCAAGGGATCCACCTGCCTTGGCCTCCCAGAGTGCTGGGATCACAGGCCTAAGCCACTGTATCCAGCTCTATTTTTAATTTTTATGGATATAAAATAGTTATTCAAATCTATAAAGTACTTGCCATATTTTGATATAAGCATACAATGTGTAATGATCAAATTAGAGTAATTAGGATCTTCCTCACCTCAAACAGCTAATTTCTTTGTGCTGGAAACATTTCAAATCCCCTCCTCTAGTATATATTTTTTTGAGACAGAGCCTCAAGCTGTCCCTCTGGCTAGAGTGCTGTGGCATCACAGCTCACAGCAACCTGCAACTCCTGGGCTCGAGCAATTCTCCTGCCTCCACCTCCCAAGTAGCTGGGACTACAGGCGCCTGCCACAAAGCCCAGCTATTTTTTTGGTTGCAGCCATTATTGTTGTTTGGTGGGCCCAGGCTGGATTCGAACCCGCTACCTTAGGTGTACGTGGGTGGCGCCTTAGCCACTTGAGCCACAGGCGCCGAGCCAATATAATAAATTTTTAACTATAGTCGTCCTACTGTGGTCCTAAATAGGAAAGTTATTCCTTCTACCTAACTGTATTTTTGTACCCATTAAACAACCTCTCTTTATCCCCTTGCCCTGATTCCCATTTTAACTCACTCATGACATCTGATAAGATTTAGGGCTTAGAATATTTACAGTTTCTTAACTGCTTGTTTAAATATTTCCCGATATTTAAATGAGAATATCATTTTTATTTTAGTAATTTATCCAGTAATTTATTGTCTACATATCATTCATTATATATGCATATAAGACATGGTCACTTTAAAATTACCCAAATAATAAAAATAACTGATGGTGTCTGATCAATAAGTGGAGAGGTGAGTCATATCTCACAGCCCTTCCAAGCTGCAATAGTAGATCGGGCTTGCTGGCTTCTGCTGCTGGAAACATGTCCCCACCAGTCTGACATCCATTCTGGCAAATGCATAAAATCTCCTGAGAATGCTAAACTGCCTTGAATCCCCTGCTGTGTCTTACAAAGTAAAGCTAGAACAGCAAAGGTTAAGGAAACAAACCCCGATTCCAAAATGTCTCAGCAATTTCTACAGCAGTGACTCTTCCTTTACCAACTGCTGCCTTTCTACACGATGATGTTATTCTTACCTTGGGGTAAAGAACTCAAAAGGAGGGATAGCCAAGGAAACTTCGTTTGATCAAAAAGAAATCACATAGCTGCTCAAATGGCCCGGGACAGGAAGCCAATGGATGTGAAATTACTGTGTCAGCTGTGTCATTGTAACTCAGCTGTTAACCTTTAGATGGTGATAACATTAAATTTAATTTTAAGAGTTTTACCTATTATGTTGTCTCTTGTGCTATTTGGCATCATCAGCTAGTAGTTCCAAATTATTTTTAGTGAATTTATAGACTTTAGGAAATGATATTGAATATGATGTTTCGATAAAAATCAGTAAAGGGCACTAGTTAAATGGGGTTATTTTTGTGGTCGAAATTAGGTGAAAAGAAGTGGGACTATACCTAACAAATGCAATCAGTGTAACCTAGTTTCTTGTACCTTCAACTAATCCCCAACAATTAAAAAAAAAACAAAAAAGAAATTAGGTGAAAAGGGTTCTTCCACAAAATTTCTGTTAAGCTACTTTCAATACAACCAAGCTTGGTTATGTCAAAGTGGTTAAGAACACTGGCTTTGGAATCTATCAACCTGTGCTTGCTTCGGTAGCACATATACTAAAATTGGAATCTAACAACCTAAATTTGAAACCTAGATCTGACCTCCAGGGCTGACACGTATGAATTTTATTTTTTAATATTAATTACTGTTATAACAAAATTTATAATAGATTATGTGAAAAAGAAATGATTGAAAATCTCTTCCCAAAGAGAAGTGCGGATGTAAGCAGACTCCCATAGTGATGTGAATAAGTCCAAATTTTTAATCCTTACCCCCAAATGCCATTTCACAAAATGAACTTAACAATTATAAGAGAAGCCAATTTAAAGTAAAGCATACAGTAAAGAAAAAAAGCATTAAAACATATACCATTAAAGCTACCTCTTCAGCTAAAAGGGTATGTATTTAGTTAATGTGATAATGAGTTCTTACTGTCTTCACAAAGGTAGAAATGCTGTTATGTTTTATATTTTTTTATTGACTTTTCACCTAAAAACTTGAATTCTAAGCGCAGAAGTCTCTCTTACAAATAGCTAATTGCTATTCTTTTTAAATATAGATCTTTATGTTTAAAGCCATTCCTTCTGAGTAGTATTTATGAACCTGACATCTCTTTGAAATTGTACAAGTTCCACAGTTTTGCTAATGCAAAAGACAGATGTAAATGTATTTTTTTAGGAAGTCCAAGTCCCATTCTCCATTCCCACTATAATTAAGTCATGAAGAGGAATAACGGTTTAACCACTGATGACTCTGTAATACTCAGCACAGAACTCAGCACACGTTTTATATCTGATAAATAATGAAGGAAAGAGTTAGTTAAAGAAACCCATGGAAGAAAAGTGGGTCCCGGATAGCAAGAGGCAAAAGCTCGCCATCTACTGGTAACTTTGTAAAAATGCAATGCACCTATAGGACTAAAAGGAGCGCAGAAAAGTTGAGAGAAAAGTTGATTTCTAAGAATAGACGTGCTGGGCCCATCTTGCCTAGTGGAAAGGCTTCATTTAGTGTGATGTACACATTGTTTTAAAGATGCCAGTTGATTAGGAAATTATATTGTAAGAAGAAGCCATTAATATTCAGCCATACAGGGACCTACAAGCACGGTGCTAGACAGTGAGAAGACCTTTCTCTTATATAATTTATTAAAGCTGTACTTTAAATCTTTAAAAATGTGGTGGTATACTGGCCAACGGTTTTAAAATTCTGCTTGAGGAAACAAGCAGTACTATTCTCTCCCATCTAAATTCCGCCTGTGTCCTGCGGGTCATTAATAAATCATACTCCACTCTATTTTAAATTGTACATTAAACCAACCATATTCCATCACTTCCATTATGTCAACAGAGACTTACTGTCAGCCTAAAGAAACAAAATTCCTTTCTTTTTCCTCATATCTATCAAAAGAACCATGTGGTCTCCAACTCGGTGTGCACCATTCCTAGCTAGAACCTCATTCAGAATTCTTCATTGGTTGATCCGCGGTCTTACTGTCTCTGAAGGACATGAAATCTTTTACTGTTGTTCTACTTTTCTACTTTACAAAGAACAATGAAACAGCCGTTGTTCTTAGAGTTCCTGCTTTATGTAAAAAAGTTAATAAGTGAATTAATGCAAATATAATAGCATTTCTACTTTCAGCCAGAACCCCCACCCACCCACCCCTCTCAGGAGGCCTTCTTTAAGCTTTTGTTTAAAGCTGAATGATCCCGGAGCTTTAGGAGTCACTATTATCAACATCTTTACTCTCATAGACTCTATAGCAAACACAGTGATGATGATAATCTCTCCTAAAGAACCAGCGGTTGTATTCAGAACAGTGAAAACTTAAATATATACTCTTTCATGGTACACTCATGGTTCACATACTAAGCAATACAGGTCTCTCTTTGAATAAAAAATAATAATCAGGACTAAGGTGCAGAGTTCAGTAGGAATTGCTCCAACCGGCTGCACATTTGGCCACACACGTGAGCGAGCACAGCTTTAGAAGGATCCGGGGCTTTCCAGAAGCTGGCCTGACCTGGCTAGGATGAGAAGTTTGCAGTGGGGAGTGCGTTACCACTTTGCCAGCAGTAGATGTCACACGCAACTAAAGAAAAAGGTCAGAGGAGCCAGAAAAAAGCAGCCAGTCACAGAAAAAGGAACTAAAGCCTATAAAACTATTCAAACATTTTGTATAGATTTACATTGAGTAAAAGCAGCTAAAACCCCTGAATTCATCGTGAAAATTCATTTATTTCTGCACACATCTATGTATATCCTACAATCCATTCAACAAAAAGTTCAAAACTAAAAGTTCTAAGCAGTTGGTGGATGAAAAACTAGTGTACATGTATGTGGCTTGAGAGCCGAGAGCGCGGCGCAGATGCTGACCCGTCCCTGGTACTCACCGTGGTGGTGGTGGTCACCTCCTCAGTTACAACCTTCAGAGTGTCCACCACGGAGATGTAGCCCAGACGCTTAGCAATCGCCAAGGCCGTGTTGCCATTCTGAAGACAGAGTGAGAGAAAGAGAGTGAGAAATGAGAGGGAGGACTGAGATGTGAGCCAATGAGATCACCCGCGGCTCTGCATGAGCCAGCATTTCTTTCCAAAACAAGGCACAGCTTAGGAAAATCACTAGTTTTTACCATTACGTCTAAATCTGTCTTGGTAACTTCTTTAGACTATAGCCCAGGTCACCATGGTAACACAACAAGCTTGCATCTGCCTGCTCTTTTTACTAAGAAGCGCTTGACGCTTTAACCCTAAGGTTGTCAAATATCTTCTGTAAATCCTGTTTTGTGCTTAGGAAAGAACCTCTCGATGCCTCCAAAAACTTTTTGCAAGTACCAGACACACACTTATTCCTCCTCGTCAGAGGTCAGGCCATCTGCTGCAGGTAAGATGTTACCATGGGGGGCACAGTAACATACTTAGCTACAGCTGTGCAGATGCTCACTACGCACCAAAGTGACATGAGCAAGCAAGCAGGCTGCAATCCCAGGCCACTGGGGGATCCTGGTTTGTTTAATTGCAAGGCTTAGTTTACATTTCAATGGCTCCACAACCCAAGGAGCTTTGTCTAAGCCAGCAGCACCCTTCACCGAGGCTGCTTAAGCAGGCGGGGAGGGAGTGGTTTGATTTCTTGCCCACATCTGAGAGCCAGCTGTAAGCAGAGCACGTTCCAGCAATCCCCAAGCAGGAGGGCCCGCGCTCTAGAGAGAGCCAACTGAGTCAGGCCAACTGCTTTCCCCCGGGCAAGCACTCCGGGGAAGTCACGCTGACTTCTGAAAAGGCTTTCCCCAAATCTGGGGCTTTCCAGAGTCCGGGGCTTATTTAAGAACGATGTTTCTGAACTCAGCTCAGACAAGAGGCCATGGGGCAAGAGAAGAAGAAGGAAGCGTGGTGGGGGACAAGCCACCGCTGCCTTACCGCGGTGGTGGCGTTGGGCTTGGCCCCATGCTGGAGCAGGACGTTGATGATGTGCGTGTGCCCCTGCTGCGCGGCCTGGTGCAAAGGCGTGTAGCCATTCTGTGGACAACAGTGGCGGCGGGCAGAGGGAGAGGAAAATTAGATTAGCCTTCATTTTGAACTTCTGAGTCTTATTTACAACAAAATCATCACTAATGCTTTGTTTATTTGGAGCCCAAGATTACCAGCGACCCATTTCTCAGCAGCAAACACTCCCTCACACCTTATGGTCTACTAAATAGAGAAGAGACTGGTTTCTGAGTTTCTGCAACAAGTTTAACGGGCTCCAAATGCTAACTATAACTATTTTAACCAATTAGCATTTAAAACTGGGTATGCTGAGAGGAGGTTTTAATGAGAAAGGGCATTAGCGCCATGATTTCTTCCCTGAGAAACCAGGGAGGGTAAAATTTTGTAGCTGAAGACTTCAGAGGATCACACAAACCACTGTGTGTTCACATCACTTTCCTATAATTTTTTTTAACATTTTATTTTAGATACAAGATGATCTTTTGTTGTTGTTTTTGCAGTTTTTGGCCAGGGCTGGGTTTGAACCTGCCACCTCCAGTATTTGGAGCCAGTGCCCTACTCCTTGAACCACAGGCACCACCCCACTTTCCTATAATTAACCTTTGGCTTTAGATTTAGGGATTCTTACTCAAAGAAAGTAAATCTCACTAAGTCTTACATTCCTTTCCGTGAACAGCTTTGGTCAAAGACAAGGATATACCTGCATTTAAGAGAGTAGAAGCCTTTGCTGGAAGCTGTGTGCCCCCCCCCCCTTGATAAAGAAAAAGTCTTTACTAGATTTGGGGCATTCTGGTCTAAACTTCCATGCAGGTGGAAGCTCTGTAAGCCCTGACTTGTGGGGGAATTGCTGGTAAGGTTAGCATGCGGCCAGTCTTGCTCAGAACCCTGGAGGGTGGTGGGTGTAATACAGGTTGATCCCATCATCACAGATTGCATTTGAGTCTTTGGAAGTCCAAGGAAACAGTAACAGTGACCACTCATGATGCATTCATTTCATCCAGGCACTGGACCTTGTAGTTATTGCCTCTTCATCACCATTCTGAAAATGAGGGTACTTGACTCGGAGTAGGTGTTTCATAAATAATGGCTGACTTAATAAGCAATGAACAAATGATAATGTAAATGAAGATCTTTCTCCTCATTTCAGACATGATGAAACAACCAAGTTTATCAATTTCTCCATAATCATTCCAGAGTCAGCTGCTGTGTAGAAGACCACAACAACCCATGGCTATCAGAACTACTCCTTAAAAATGTATTGCCCCACCCCTAATAAAATTTTATCTATATATTTCAGATCCAATTGTCCTGGGCTCTGAGTTTGAGTGGCCCACTCATACCCTAAGCTGATAAGAGTAGTGTACACGTAGTATAATGACCTTTTAGACAAGGTCACTGTTGCCTCATGGTCAAGATGCATATCCTCTTAACTTGTCTATGTGGTACATCTATCTATATATGTGGGCACCACATTATTCTTTCTATACATCCACTGTGGCATTTCTGTACTTAGGAATGTACCCATAAGTATGAGGGTCCATCTGCCTCTGAGTGTCCCCAAGTCTGGCACATTCCCATTCTGCCACACTGGGCGCCTTACATCTGCTATATATATATCCTTACAAAGGAATGACCCCAGGAAACCTGGAAATATAAATCAATTACAGGGAGTATGAGAAAACTATAGCTATTGCAGAGACTCTGTTCTCAAATCAGGTAAACCAGGGGCACTGGAGGAGCACACAGTATGTGCTTTTTCTTCTAAAATTTCTTCCTTTCCATTAATTTTATGTCTTACCAACTGAATTTACTTCTCTCCAGTATCAATCAAGTTCATTCATTCAACAAGCATCTCCTAACCATATACTAGGTACTAAATAACTTGGCACAAACATTAAATTATATAATAAATAATATATTAAAATATATAATATAAGTAAATATAAATTACCTATAAATATATATATAAGTCTTGCCCTCAATAGATCACAGTACATATATAGAGCCCCCAGTGGACACTGTGACCAGAAAAATGTCCCCCAGGACTGGCTTAACCTAACCTTCACCTGAAATCTCTGAGAAATGACAATATTTCTTGAAAGTCTTTGCATGAAAGTGTGGCTGAATCTTTAATCCACTGTCATAAACTAGAAGCTCTAGAGAACTACCTCTTCTACCAACTATTCACAAATCCCCTAAACCTCAGTTTTCTCATTTGTAAAATGAAAAAGCCACAATTTCAAGTTAGGTGAAGGATCAAATAAGTTGTCTGTGAAAATATTTTCATTTTTAGCCTCGATAATTCCAGCAAAGATTATGGTAGGGTTTTTGTTTCCCTTCCATGAAGAGCTCTCTAATCTTTGCAGTATATTTTATAAAGAAATTCCTTAGATATGCTATACTTCTGAACCCTTTTCACAAGTTTGACATATAATTAACCAAGTCTGATTTGCCTCAAGCTGTCATGACAGGGTTTCATTCTAATTTTAAGCAACTAAGAGTTCCACAAAATAAGTTCACTTTTCCAAATCTTTTATGCCAAGTCATGAATGTTCAAGGAGTAAAGTTAATTGTTAGGTTTATTTTTTCAAAGCAATGAGCCAATTTTTAGTAACTATGGTTACACATGAGTTGTGACAAGGAAAATGTAAATTTTCCTCTAGAGATAACATTTCATATGTAAAAAATTCCAAAGGGTTTACTGGAAGACTGCCTTTCAAGGTATGCATCTATCTTAATGTGACCAGACATCCCACTTTTAGTGAGACAATCCCGATTTTTAACAATTTGTCCTGTGTCCCGAGGCATTTTTAAAAAGTCCTGATTTTTGGAAAGAATGCAGGACAAGCTAGGGAAGGGCAGGAGAATGGGAAGGGAATATACGGTTTCTGGCTGCTGAAAAGGTTACTGTAACTCCATTTGGGAATGAAGAGGTTAATGTAACTTCATTTGGAAATGAAAAGGCTAATGTAAACTCCCTACTCCCCTCCTGGGCAAGGTCACCCAGGGGGACCAGCACCCTACTCCTTTGAGCCACAGGTGCTGCCCTATACATAATTTTTTTAATGTATTATATTTGTAAATTGTACTTATGTTGAAATTAACAAAAAATTACAATACTATTTTTGTGTTCTATGAAAATTGTTGTTCCTCCATATAGACCAAATTTTTAATCAAGAACACAACCCTCCTCCGCTCCACCCCTGCCCCCCCTCCATCAATGGTGTCCTGCTTTACCAATGTTAAAATCTGGTCACCTTAATCTATCTATGCCTTTGAAAATATGTCACTCCAAATATTACAGTAAAAGCTCTACATAGTTCACATAAAAAAATAAAACTAAAATGTTAAAATCAGATTTTTCTCTAAATGAAATGATCATTTGATGAATATCAAACTGCAGGACTGCAGGGAGGTCACTGATACTCTCTAGATAATATAGTGTTTGCCTGCTAAATATTATAACCAATTTAACAATCCAACACTAGACAAAAAAACAGGATAAACATCTCCAAAGTCTACTAACCTCTGATTGGTTGTTACATTTTGCATTTCAAGACAATATCTGGATTCCTGAAATACTTACATGTAAGCTGGCTCAGCAAAAATGATGTTAGAGGCTAATGCCTGAGAATTTATATTAGTGCTTTTAAATAAGTGTCAAAGTACAATTTCATGAGAACTCAAGAATTGGTCAGAAACTAGGCAGCAGCTCTTCTTGCTAGAGGAAGATTACAAATTTGAATCTTAAATGTTAACAGTATTATTTATGTTCATAATTAAAAAATAATTTTATTTTAAATTAGCTTATAAATGGTTATATATAGAAATGATTTTGTTTCTGCTTCCAAGAGAACATAAAAAGGAAGACTGACTCATCAAATTGCTATATATTTGTAATTAGCACATTGTGAGTGATATCTTTGAAATCTCCTGAATGTGCCCACACTCACTGACTTGAGCCCACTCCCATAGCTATAATTAGAAATTTCTACTATATGAACTTTAACAAAAAATGTAAATAAATATTTCTTAGAACCTAAGCACCAGGAGCTGCAAGTTATATTATGCATAATAGCCATAGTCACAGTACTCATTTCTCTTCACCTTGAACCAATCTGAGTGTACTGAGTCATGTTCCGACCTTGCTTTGCTGAATGGGATACTTCAGATATTACCTGTGGGATCAGGTCAGCTCTCTTTTATTCCTGAGAACTTCCTTCACAGGCCTTACACGTTATTGGCTCACTGAGCACAACCACGTGATGTTCCCAATGTGGCAGAGTTCAATAAGAATGAAAGGCACACAGTGTAGGTTACCTGTGTATTTCCTCATAAGAGGATGAGGGGTCGGTGAAGGAGGGCAAGGCCCTGAAATAAGAAAATCTGCCAGAACATCATGAGGTTGGAGCAGGATCCATTGTATCCTGCAGTGAATTGTTAAATCAACATAACTTTATAGTAGAAGTTGTTCTGAAGCTAACCTACATGGCTGTCAAAGGTTGTTACAATAAACTAAATAGCCTCTTCAAAATTAGTTTAGAAGAACTAAAAAAAAAGGAAAAATAAAATAATGTACTTGTAGCTCTGGTAAACTAGTGAAGTGTCCACATGACTGGATCTTTTTCGTTATAGAAAATGCTATTTATTTTTTATTTTTTTAGCCAACATTTATTTTTATGCCTAGGGAAATATATAGGGTGTTGAAGACTAATGTACTGGGCAATTTGCTAGTTAGTGATAGTAACATAATCCCGAAAAGCAAGCAAAATTATCTGTACTTTTTGAAAAGTTTTATTCAGCAATAAGAACATAATTTTTCATAGTTAAGGAAGTATGAAAAATTTGTTGAATTTTGAAAGCTGAATACATGCAGTGTTGGATCAAGGCACACACAGAACTGACCAATAGGCGTATGTATAATGCACTCTGGTTAAGAAAACATAAAATCATGGCAACTGTAAAGTGATTTTTGTTTTTTTTTTTTCAAGACAGAGTCTCAAGCTGTCACCCTGGGTAGAGTGCCATGGCCTCACAGCAACCTCAAAATCCTGGGCTTAAGTGATTCCCTTGCCTCAGCCTCCCACATAGCTGGGACTACAGGGATCTGCCACAATGCTTGGCTATTTTTAAGTTGTAGTTGTCATTTTTGTATGGCGGGCCCTGGCTGGATTCGAACCGTCATCTCCAGTGTACGTGGCTGGTGCCCTAAACACTTGAGCTATAGGCACCAAGCCAGTGATATGGTTTTTAAACAAGTGATAGTTCACAATTCAGTACGAAGCTAGAAAGAAATATTACAAGTTCATTAGGTACTATCTGGAAAACTCTGCGAGTCATTTACGGTCTTGATTTGCTATTAGAAAATGAAAATGACTACCAGTATTTTACCTTGGTTTTTGCGTTAACATTTGCTCCCTGCTTCAGAAGAAAGTTGACCATTTTCACATTTCCATAGTGACAAGCCACAATTAAAGGAGTGTAACCAAGCTGTAAATAATAATAATAAATGACAACTTAATAAATAAAGTAGAACTTTCACTACTGTAGTCATTAGTAATCTAGGGAAGAGTGTTCAGTTTTGTAGGATGGGCAGAAATTCAACTTGAGTGTAGAAATATTATTTAGCAAATTATATTTGTATCCCTGGCCACGAGGAACTTAATAGCAGCCACAGAGATCAGACACATCTGTAACTTAATCTGACAAAAAACTAAGAGAGACACAAATAATCCCTTCTGAAGATAGTGAAGAGAGATTGATTCTGGTAAGTTCAGGAAGAGATAGAAGAAAGCTGTAACTACAGTGGCTTAAAGACTGGGTAAGAATTTAATGGCATAAAGTGGAAAAACAGGTTTCCAGGCCCAGGGCATGAAGGCAAGCAAGTGCAGGGAGAAAACAGCAAGTCAACCAGACGAGCTAAAGCAACAAAGGAAAGAGTAGACTTGAGCCTGCAAAGCTGCAGTCTTCATGTGATTGTCTTGATACCATATTGTCCATGTGGACTTGATTCCAGAAGGAAACGGAAAGCAACTATAGATGCGTGAGCAAGAGTTTATACTTTAGAATAGACTTTTATGGAGGGAGGAGGTCCCAGACATAGGGTGACCCAAACTGGGGCTAGCCATGATCTGTCGTCCAAGCCATGATCTGTCATGGTCTTGACAGTGATTTGCTTTACCTTTGTGTGAGCATCCCGGTCCGCCCCATGCTTGGTGAGAATCTCCGCAACATTCACTTTATCTTCCTGGGCTGCAAGGTGTAAGGACGTGAGTCCACTCTATAGAAAGAACGGAGCCAAAGGGGTACAATTGAAGAAAAAAATACATTGCATCACCTACAATGTCATGTCTTTAAAAAATCCTGGGAAAGTCCTAGCCACCTCTCCCTAGAAACTGCATCTTTTGACATCTAACATAAACTCTTTAAGTTAGTGACTTTTCGTCCAAGACACATTTCTCTAAGTTAGTCAACACTTTCGACAAATTACATTTTCATTTTCTATATTTGGTACTTCCATTATGATGCTGGACTTCAACATAACTCAGGTAGGAAGCTTCCAAAGTATATTCTTTTCAAACCCATTTGGGCCTCCTATTGAATCTATTTATTTACTTTAATAATTGGTTAACCAACTACTACATTTACTTCATATCCGAATATCACTTCACCATAAAAAAAAATGTACAGAGTTACAGGAAATGAGTTCAAAATAGTTTTCTCTAGCACTCAAAGAGAATATACTTTCTTGAGCATTCCCAGTAAATGCTAAATTTTTATAAAAGTAATCCCATCCCAGCCCTGTTCGCCACTGCTTTGCAGGCCTGCTGTCCTGCCTTCGCCGGTGGGCTGACAATGATAAGCCATGTTCCTCAACGTTCATGTTCTCTAGCCATGGTACTAACTTCTGGAAATCAAAAACACTCTGACCTTTAAAAAAATATAAATAACACTGACAGGAAACCATTCTACAACTGGAAAAGAGGTCTTTTATTTGAGGGTCTAAGATTCTTTAATCCTCTTTGTGTGAGGGTCTAAGATTCTTTAACCTCTTTGTGTGAGGTTAGCTTTGAGTTTTCATAAAATATCAGGGTAAGATAGTAGACATACCCTTTTGCATTATGTTACTTCTCAAGAAATATTATTGAATCCTGATGTATAAAAAAATCTGAGTATTGGGATAAAACAATCCTTATCTTGATTTCCTCTATATTAAAATAGCAAACATAAAAAAAATTTTCTCATTACAAAGACAGTTGACCTGTTTAAAAATATCACTGAAGTGATCATCAAATCTCAAAAATAATTCTGATGGCATTTCAAATACACATGCCTTTTTCTGCTCTATTTTCAGAATGAATTTTCTACAACATAAAACTACAAACTAACTAGTATGAAAAATCCCAATAGTTTACTCTGGTAAACTTGCATATCCAAATCAAATTATGTTAACCCTTTTAATAAACCAAGAAAATAGAAGATATTGAAAGAGTTAGTCTCAAAAAAAGTAATTTATTTCCTAAAATACACTGGGAGACACAACAAATGGCTTTATTTTGTGGTGATTGATAAGGAATGTACTGTCAGTTCTATATTATAGTTCTTACTGAGATATAATTATTTAGGAAGCATGTAATTATTTGTTTTTTTCAAAAGCAATGGGAAAATGTATCAGTGTGGCATTATCTTATTATATAATACCAACTGAAAGGCAAAGTTGTATTTTTTATATATAGATTTACATAATGTATTATTCAGATTATATCTGAACACATTTACTAAAGTTTTATGTTAGTGACAAATACATCATGCCTTTGTCTATAGGAGACCACTGAAAGATAATATTGAAATTGTTGTTATAAAGAGAACATAATCACTTTGTGATTGAAAACTGAATATTTTTCTTCATTGCTGAGTGTGCAACTCAAATATACTCATTAAATATTTGCTGACTGCTAACACTCTCAAAGAAAGTAATGTATTTAGAATACCATTAACAGAGGACACAGTGAACTGATTCCAAATATGCACCTATCTTTTTCATAAATTAAAAATAACCCCATCAGAAGCATTGCAAAATCAATTTCATGAACTGTCTAGAATTTTAATCCTACATCGAATTTTGCTGAATTTCTGGGGTTCTTTTGTTTATTTTCAGATAAAGATTTCTTTTTAATACACAATAAATACATGCCTTCACAATACACTAATATTAAATAAAATATTCTATATTTTATGGCCATAATATCCTCAACAGGATAAATGACATCTGAATGACATGATTTCAATAGCCATAAGGGGGGTCCATGCCTCAGACTTTAACAAGTGTCTGGCTGATACACTGAATTTCATCATAAGGCTTTATCATGTTCATTCTTATTCTAATCCAAGTCTCTTCAGGAAGACTAACTCTCAACATACTTTAAAAAAGGATCTGTGAAGACTCTTGATGCAGGGCAGAGAAGTGTATATGGACAAGGGTTGTACTGTAATAATTCCGAGGAATAAAGAAAAACACAGGACATTAGAGACATTTACAGGCATCTGTTTCTTATCTCTTTCTCAAGGATGCATGCTACAGAATTTATTTACAAATGTTACTAAGGCCAATTTAGAATTTATACCTTTAAAAGCACTAATGAACTCGACAATGAGACAAATGTAGAAAGCATAGTATTTGCATATGTGTGTGAAAAATTCTAAGACACATAATTGTCACTAAATCCACACAAATGTTTTTTAAAAAAGCACCAAGAGATCCAAATGGCAAACTAATTTATAAATAAGTTTCCAATGTGCAGTTTCTCAGCAGCTGGCTCTAGAGGAGTACATATGAGACAGAAGGATAATAGACCTGGATTTATATCTAGATAGATAAATTGATAGATGTATACTTGCAAAAATCTAACTATGTTTATATATGAATAATATCTTTTCCTCTTATATCCTTGACTGCCAGTCGATCAGAATTAATAGGGAGGTAACCCAAAAGCCATTCCGTAGACAAGGCTGAAATGACCGAGAAGCTGCATGAAAAACAGATATTCTGACCTCCATCACCACAACCAAGCTAGGCTGAAGTTAGCTCCAAAACTCTGTTTTCCTGAGTTTCCTGCCCCCTCCCCAGAGATGCGTTTGATCTCAGCATGCTACAGGATGAGTTGGGAGGTAGACATGGCCTGTCAGTTTAGAGGTAACGGTTGTTTGAGCTAAACCCCAGATGAAACCTTCATTGTATGTATGTGTGTATGTATGTATGTATCATCTATTTCTCTATCTATCTGAAATTCAGGATTAGGACCAGCAGACACCAGGGCGTTCTGGTCTGACTCACTGAATTACAGTGGTGTTAACTCCTGGGAGCCATAGGGTAGCCTCTCCAGTCACATACACAGAGAAGCAGAAAAAGCTGATTGACAGAGACAAATGAACATAACTGGCTTGCTGAGAAAAGTCAAGATGCAAAG